TAAATGTCATTGAGGTAGACTTTTCTTTTCTTTATATTATACTATGTATGGTGTTAGTGTTGTGGTTTATAATAATAATATTATCTTTATTTTTTAATTTAAAAAAAAAAAAAATCATTTTCATTTTTAATTGATTGCTGATTATTTGAATGTGTGCGTAAATATTAATTTATATATTATAAATAATTATATTATAAATTATAAATAATAAACAACTGCGTAATCTTGTTTGTTGTAGATTGTAATAAAATGGCAACCTCCTTTGCCGTAACTGTAAATATAAGTGAGACAACTTTTGTGATATATGTGGTGATTATACAAAAAAAAAAAAAAAAAAAAGCACATTTAATGAATTTGAAAGCTGCATGCTGCTTGTTTTGATATAAAGATTGATGTGACTACTCAGTCACCGCAAAATTGTTTCACTAGTTGTTCTACTCAGTCACCGCAAAATTGTTTCACTAATTGTTCTTCACAACCAAGCCAATCGTTAGATAATGGTTCCCTAAGTCTTTTGGTACTCCTAAAATCTGGTGTGAGCAAATCATTTCAATGATTGTTATTTTTTTCATCGTTAATCTTTCTCTAATTACAATTAAAACTAGAGGTATATTGCACGCATACTCAGTTTCAATTCTGGTCTCCAAGTTACCTGATTACTTGTTTGAAGAATTCATACACATAGACGTTGAAAACACAGATGATGACATTGCATTGTACATAAAGATTAGAACCTTCTTCTATTAGCATTGGATTTAAATGATGACAGACCGTATTGTTTTCACAAATTGAATTTTAGTTGAAGTTTTGAAAATTGATTTTAAAGTATCACTTTATTGTAAAGGTTCACAAAATTTCATTTTATTTTTTATATTCATCAAGAAATTTTGAATTTCATAGTAAAATATTTTAGTGTTCAAAAATTATGACCATATAAAGGCGAGTTTCACTCATCCGTTTTTCTACGGGAACGGGATAGGAAAGAAAAAAATAATTACGTGAGCATGCGTTAATAAAAGATTTTATTTGTCCGAGCATGCTCACGTGGTTATTTTTCCGTTCCCTTTCCCTTTCCCGTAGAAAAACGGATGAGTGGAAACTCACCTTAAAGTTTAAAATTCCCATCAATTTGAGGGGGTTCCAAACTTTATATGGTCATAACTTTTGAAAACTAAAATATTTTACTATGAAATTTAAAATTTCTTGATGAATATAAGTCTAGTTAAAAATAGCAGAGAAAATATTTTATTAACTTGTTGCTCTCACGTTTGGGGCAGGGGGGGCTAAGACTTTAGGCTTTCTTGTTTAAATCTTTCGTCATAAAAAAATCTTTTTGTCATCTCAAAGACCAAAAAATGCTGGCGCCGCTCCTGCATACATAAGTACATACATACATACATACATACATACATACATACATACATACATACATACATACATACATACATACATACATACATACATACATACATACATACATACATACATATATACATACATACATTCATACATACATATCCAATTACTTAGTATTTAAACATCAAAAAGTCTATTCGAAAACTTAAATTTTCTATAGTGAAGATTAGTTGACTTAGATTATAATGTAATAATGTTCAATTTACCTTTCAAGATTTGTTTATAAGTTAACAGTGAACTGAAATTTGTTTGTAGTTGTGCACGGGAAGTTTTCATAATTAATTTACACAATAGTTTTGTTTGTTTATTAAAATATCAAAATGATTTAAACTTTTTTGAATTTCTATTAGTATACTATTTAAAGGATAAATTATAATCAATCCTGTGCATATAATAAAAAAAAAAGATTGTAAAATGTTTGAAAAGTAAAAACTACCATACAACATTTACAAATAACCCGCTTGTTGTTGATATTGGTACTGTTGTTGTTATTATTGAGCACTGCAAAAGAGCATTTAACTAGGAAGTTTATGCCTCCTTTCTTAACAATATCGCTTATCTGGTCAGCATCGCGCCTTGAATCTTTTGGTTATGAGCCAAAACTCTTACTCTATGTGTGCGCAGTAAGCACCCACTGTTGTAAGCACCCACTGTTGCTTGCTTATTATTTGAATTTTTTATTTATTATTGTGTTTTTTTTTTCACTGGTTTTTGACAATAATTTGTCGGAATTTTACTTTGATAAGTTAGGCGACAAATATATTGAAAAACAAAACATTTTTTTAATTTCCAGTATACTTTTTTATATACCGGAACAAATAAATTCCCGCAGCTCTTTTATCTTAGAAAAGAACGATGAAGTACCGTTATACAATATAAGGTTCAGTGGGTTTTTTATTTATTGCTTAGCCATGCTAAAGAAAAAAAATATATATGAAACACCAATCGGATAGTATAGAACTTTTATTTTATTTTTTTATTGTTTATTTTTTTAAAAGCGTTTTAATACCATCGTCTTTAAAGCTGTTTGGCAAAAATATAATATGATTTTCTGTTTCCTAAAACAGTTAATAACTTTTATTGCTGTTGTGTATCAATCAGCCTAAAATAATGCTCATAAGGGTTTCCTTAAAATTAATTAAAACATTGTATTTTTATTAAAAGTTAACCATATATTGTAAAGGGCTTCATGACAAGATCCTCATGATCTTCTAGAAGTCCTGTCGTTACTAATGTAAAAAATTGTAAACTATATTTAGTTATTGTAATATTAAACGGCAAATAAAAAAAAAAAAAAAAAAATATCAGATACAATAAATGAATCTTGTTTATATAGTTACCTTACTTATATAGTTGTTTATATAGTTTATCATTAGTAATTTGTGAAAGGTAATTGTTATTATTTTATTATTATCACTATATAATTGTAAAACGACAAACAAATGTAACCAAAAAAAAAAATCCTTACGGACACAAAAGAAACCATGACGTTTTTAATTTATTAAATATATCATTTATTTATAATGTGTAAAAGTATTGCAGAAATTTAAATAATATCATACGCAATTTAAAGATTAAAAAACCTAAATTTTTAAGTTGGGTAAATTTGATACTAAAATTCGTGAGAACCAAAAAAAAATTCATTCAAATAAAAAAAGTTTCGGCACTAAATAAATTCGAAATTGAAGTCGATCTTAAAGTTCGAAAAAACAAATAACTAAAATTAAAAAAATGCTTCGAATTTATTATTAATTTTTACGTTGATTCTCATAGGCGAAAATTATTATAATTTAATAGCAATATTTATAAAACATTACTAAGAAATTTTAGTTGATCATTTTGTAATTTTTATAGCAAAGACTTTTTGAAAACATATTTTATAATTCAGTTGAGATGCGTTTGAGAGTGAAATCATATCGGATAGTGGTCAACCCACATCCAAAGCTATCTTTTCGTTTAGATAGGGATTCGGATTCTAATAGAATTTTTCCGTTTTGGGACTTTTGAGTAAATGGCTATTGTATATGTAATTGTATTCAAATCAGATCGGATTTTGAATATGTTTAGAGAATTTTATTTTACTCTTGTTAATTGTTGTAGAATTTTGTTTTACTCATGTTAATTGTTGTTAAATGTTATTTAGATATAAAAAAATTATTTTGTGTTTTTTATATCAAAATTTAGCAGAAATTTTTAAAATATAAGAATGAAAAAAAAAAAAAAAAAAATGAAATTTTATTATGAATTGCTGAAATATCACAAAACAGTTTCTTTTTTAGACGAAAAATAGACTTAAAATGCTCTAAAAAAAGAAGAAGTACTTTTTATGTAAAACCGAGCTTTTATTGGACTTTAATAAAACATTTACCATTTGTTTTTTTCGTAACGCATATAAGGCTGATACAATATACAGAAATAAAACTTATTGATTAATATCATATGCAAATTTACATAAGTTAAAGTATTTTTTCGATATACGTGTTGTAGTGGATCAAACAAACCTGATTCACTTCCTCGTTGTAGTTTCAGGTTGCCGTCTCATTGCATTTTGTTGCTATCTCATTGCCACATGTTTCATCTCTATCTCTTTTTTTTTACTAATAATGGTTGTTTCTGAAGTGAGTTACCATCACTTGTTAACTAATAATGGTTGTTTCTGAAGTGAGCTACCATCACTTGTTTCGCCTATCAAAATTGGGTTCCTTATAACAATGTCACATGAAATAAATTTATTTTTAAACATAAACAATTTTGTAAAATAAGCAATCATCGGACTTAAGATGACTTACTGTATAAATAGGCAATCATCGGACTTGAGACGACTTACTGTATAAATAAGCAATCATCGAACTTGAGATGACTTACTGTATAAATAAGCAATCATCGGACTTGAGACGACTTACTGTATAAATAAGCAATCATCGGACTTGAGATGATTTACTGTATAAATAAGCAATCATCGGACTTGACATGACTTACCGTATAAATAAGCAATCATCGGACTTGAGATGACTTACTGTATAAATACTAGCAACAAGTATTACTTCAATAAAATAAAATTATCGGGATTCAGAATTTGAAAAAAAGTTTAATATATTGAAAATTTAAATTATAAAAGAATGGAATATTTTTGAAAAATAACTTTAACTCTTCTTAATTCTAGAAAAGAAAAAGTAATTATAATTGTAAAAGTTATTAAATAACTTAGAGTAAAATGAGCGTAACTATTATTATATAACCTACATGTAGGTTGTATACAAAGCGTATTATAAATTATACAATAAAAAACGATAACTCATTGATAAATTCATTATTAAAAAATATACTATTATAAAATTTATTATTCTGATATTTTTACTATAAAATATGCAAAAAAATGCTTGAATATGGTTGAATTTGAAGTAAAAAAAAACATATTAGAAATAAAAAAAGGGTGCATCCTTTATATATATATATATTTTTAGTTGTACAAAACCACAAAGGTTGATATTTAAAGAGTATTCCTTTAAATATCCCGAGTTGTTACCTGCAATATCGATACAGAGTAAAAGCCGCAGGAATAAATCACGTGACTAAATTTCACATTGAAGTTGAGACAAGCACAATTGTTGAATTTTTTTTAAATTAATGTTGTTCTTTTTTTTAGCTCAACGTTTGAAATAATTCTTGTCGTTAATAGTTTACTCGCATTATTTCATGTAGTTTATTGATATTAAGGTTTATTAAAGAGTGCTATTTTACAAGATTTTTCTACAACTTTACTGATTGTATATGCAGGTATATAGTAGGTTATTGCTGTATATTAATATTATTAAAAGCATATTAAAATCAAATGACATCAAAATACAGTTAAATTGTACTAAATACAGCTAATATATATATATATATATATATATATATATATATATATATATATATATATATATATATATATATATATATAGTATATATATATATATATATATATATATATATATATATATATATATATATATGTATATATATATGTATATATATATATATATATATATATATATATATATATATATATATATATATATATATATATATATATGTATATATATATATATATGCGATTGCATAAAAAAATTTAAACTAAATATTTTGACTTAAAAGTATGTTTAGATAAAAGAGGCCGTCGAATGCTGCACATTGATACCAAATTTATGTTTCTAGCCAATTTATTGTAATTTAAGCGATCAAAATTAATGATGGATGTCTTAACAAAGAATATTGTCTATAATTTTATGGAGTATATAGAATATATTAGGATTATAGTCTATATATTAACATAATAAACATTTGTTATTATACATCATGTATTTTACTTAATTTTGAAACTGTGAAAAAAAATCCACTTTTTGAAACGTTTTTCTTCTATAAAGTGGGTATTTATTTACAGTTTCAAAAGTGAGTATTTATTTACATTTTCAAAATTGTGCATAATCTCTAACATGTTGTTTAATAAAAAATGTTTATTATGTTAATCTTTATTTAGATAAATCACTTTTATTGTTCATATTTCTGTGTAGCAGTATTTTTTTTTTAAAGTTTGATTAAAATAAAATAAATTATAAAGAAATATTGATCATGTTAGTTTCTAGCGCATTAGAAAAACTGACGCATTAAAAACTTATTTCAAAAGGTTAAAAACTATTGAAAATAGAACATCACCTGGCGTGTATGTGCAAGGTAGAGGTGGAATATTGGTGTAGTAAAATTTTATTATTGCTAATCAACCTAATATGCTATGGTTGTGTTTTTTATATTATTTGATAAATGTTACTTAATTCTTTCAACATATGAAAAAATTCTTTTATTGTAAATATAAGTATTGTGCTTATGAAGCTTACCTGTTTATTTATGCTCTGTAAATTGTAAAAATTACCATTTAAATTTTTTGAAAACAGGTCATAAAAACTATTTGATTTTATTCTAAAATAAAAAAAAAATTATACTGTCACTTATCTATATACTAGATTTGATTGATTTCTCATACATCCTATGTGTAACCCACACAAATGCAAAATGAGCTTTTAATTTTTAATGGCGACCAAGTTTAGCCAATCATCCAATATGGCCACTATATGAGACTATATACATTATATATATATATATATATATATATATATATATATATATATATATATATATATATATATAAATATATATATATATGTATATATATATAGCCCTCCAAATTAGGAAAGACGAGGTCGGCAATAATTTGCTGACCTTAATCATTTAGAGATTGGCATCAGGTCGGCAAAAAAAAAAATTATAAAAAAATATATATATGCTTGAAACGTTAAACATATGCTTGAAACGTTACATTTCAAGCATATGCTTGATGTGTAACAAGATAATATCAAACTTTAGGTTTGACAATGCTTGTCAAACCTAAAGTTCGACAAGCATAGGTATAAAGGTTTTTACTGTTTATAAAAAAACATTTTATATTTTTGTACTGTAATAGAATACAGGAAGTTTAAGAATTTTTACAATAATTAAAGATTCCACAGTAAAAGTGTTTATACAATTACAAGTTTTTTTGCAGAACATTTAATTATGCATTACATTTTTTTATTTTGCTCAAATTTAAAAAATTGTGACAATAAAGCATTTAATTGAGACATTTATATAATTCATTATAATTAAGATATTAAATATATAATTCATTGCATAAAATAAAAATTATTATGCAATAATTTAGTGCATAATAGTTTCATATTATATATATGTGAATTAAAAAAAAAGCTGTTATAACATTCAAAAAAAATGTTTTACTTTTTTAAATGTATTTTTAAAAATCTTGTTTATTTTAAACTGAATTTTAAATATTTTAATAGGAAGACATAGCATTGACTAAGAATAAGATTTATGATTAAATTTTTTTTTTTTTTTTTTCATGGCATTTTATAAGAAACTTATTTTTATATAAGAAACCAATCAGTTGGTACTCTTTAATTTTATTTATTTGTAATAACTGTGTCTTTAAAAAAACATTACAGTTAATGTAATTATTGGTTTATTTCTAAAATGCTTTTGGCATTTTACATCTTAGTTACATTAATAATGTTTTTCTTTTATAAATAACTTTGCAGCAACTAAACAACTGTAAACGGATTTTAAAGCAATTATGAATAGGTTTTTTAACAACTATATATTTTTTATTATGAGTATTTTTTTCAAAAGTATATGGGAAAAATTGTAAAGTTTATAAATTTTATGTAAGCAACTGAAATAAGTTTTTCATATTAAAGTATTATAGGTTATATTATAGGTTCATAAAAAATATTATAGATCATATATAATCTATAAAAATAGACAATTAAGTTTTTGATTTTTTATATTTAATTTTTATAAAGTTCAAACTCATCATAAAATCTTTATGTCACAAGGATGATGCATGAAAGATGTCAATGATGACGTATATAGGCTTGATAATGAGTTCTAAAGTTCTAACTCATGATCAAGTCTTTATATTGTGTAGATGACATGTGATGTAAAGATTTGAAGGTTTGATAATGAGCTGCAAATAGAAAGGCAAATTACAAATAGATCCGTTTCGTACAAGATGTTAAAATGACGAAATAGAAAATAAAAATACAAGGCAAATATAAAAGTTACCACAAAATAAAACAAGACTCTTTAACTGTCTAAGCAAATACTTGTCATTTTGTCAATGGCCATAGTTGCTACAAAGTTGAGGAAAAGGGAGTAAAATAAATCCTAATTATTTTCAAGTTTAATGAGTAGTTTAATATAAAAAAAGTTATTAAATTTTGTTTAGTTTTGTTTTACTTGTTTCTTATATCAAATATTGTTTTGTGTATGCACAGTTTTTTTTTTTTTAGCTTCAAATACTATTGTGTACATAGATATTGTATATACCTTATGTGTAAAAGACATGAAGGATAATAGGAGCCAAGTTTTAGCTGGATCAGACGATGTCCTAATTGATAAAAAATTGGTGAGATGTACAATGGTAACAACAGTGTGGAAAATAACAGTCGGTCAACAACCGCATGAAATGAATAAATTTTTTTTTTTTTTTTACCTTCAAAAATGAATTTTTTCTGGTTATGGTTGACTGATTGAAAATCAGAGTTTTAAAAAACAAGGTTTGAAAAATAAGTAGGATATAATTTGGAAAACAATTTTAACAATTTTAAAAAAAAAGAAAAAATTTTCAAAAATCATTTTGATTTTGAAAAAGCGCTTAAAATAGTTTTATGATTCCTGATAATTTCTATAGCTCGCATTGTTGACAAATATTATAAAAGACGTAAACTATTTCTGTTCATTTTTTTTTTTGCTTCATTTATTTAGATTAGTTCATTTTACTGGTGGTGAAAATCTTTTTTTTTATAAAATAATTGAAGTTCTTATTTTATTATTATTTTCTTAAAGAAATTTTAAATATTATTTTAATAATAATATATAATATTTGCTGTATTTTTTTATATTGAACTTTGTCTTTTTTTTCCTTCAAATCTTTTAATTTATTTTTCTTGTAAGTTTTTGCCACAAATTGCAAAAAATGAATGATTTATAGATAAATTTAAAGTTACTAATTATCTATTTGCATAGTATTAACTATTCAAATTTAAAATTTATTCAAGTTTAAAATTTTTAAATATTTAAAAAAAATTTTTGACATTTAAAAAAAAATTTCAACATTAAATTACTTGATTTTGTTTAAAATTGCTTATTTAAAAACTGAATATTAATTCATTGATTTTTAAGCAATAAGTTGTTTTTATATCTACAAAGATCAGTAATGAAGAACTATTATAAATACTAAGATGTAAATTTAAACAAAGAAAAAATGAAAATTTTTTTGACCGTCCAAAAAAAACAATTGATTGTCGATATGTATTATCGGGTTGTATTGACTGCTTGCATTTGATTTCTTATTTTCCATGCTGGGTAACAGGATTTTTTTTTTTTTATTATTATTTTTTTTTTGTTGATCAGTTATTTACCTCTTGAATTAAATTTTGTCAAAGGCTACTGAAGAACAAATCCGCAATGCTAAACTTTTTCAAATTAATACAAAAGATGACATAATAGTACAGAAACAACTAAAAGAGGTTTTAATTTTATTACTCGATTATAATGTATTAAAGTAAATTCTTTTTTTTTTCAATTTATGTTCAATTTATTTTGTAAAAAGTTTTTTTTTTAATATTAGTAATTTGAATTGAATTTTAATTAATTTATTTATATTAATTTAAATAATTATGTTTATTTTAGTTAAAATAATTATATCTATATTAATTTATTTATTATTAAAATTAAAATATAATTATTTTCTTTATACTTATATTATTGCTTTACTTAAAGCATGTTTTAATATTAAGCACTGTATAAAACAATATGACAAGGTTGTTTTATATTACCACACTTTTTATTTTAATAAACAATAAAATGACTTTGTAAAATTGTTATATTGTTATTTATACATTTTTTTAAAATATCAAAATAAAAACTGTTTTATTGCCTGCATGAGCAAGATAATAGTGTTAGTTGAATAGTGTTATTAAGTTATTATAGTTATGGTTAATAAATTAATTTTTTTAAAAGTCAAATGCTTTAATATATGCTCTCTAATATATAGTTTAACTGTCTAATTTAATTTATAGTAAATTTATGTTGACATCAGATAGTATTGCAGGCCTTGTTATAAGATTTTGTTGCATAACAGAAAAGTGTAACTCAAGTAAATGTAACTAAATAAGCTCAATAAACATATTTACATCGTTAAAAGTTAAATTACATAAGTTGTATATTTTAAAGTACTGCATTGTAAATAAATTTAATTTGAAACCACATTAAAAATCTTTTTAAGTCTTTATCGTTATAAAATATTTAAAAAATATCTTTAAATTAAACTATATTGTTATAGAAAAAGATTATTTATGAAATTTAAATAAATTGCTTGAAAAAAAAATCATTTATTATAAATAACTTATACTTATTTAAACTTTTTTTTTTTTAATTTCTTATCGGTCAAAAAAAATAAAAATAAAAACTATTAGCAATATTTTTAATTAACATTTTGGCATTCTACTCATAAACTAGTTAAACATATCTAATCAACATCATTCTATGATCAATCCAAAATATTAGTTTTAAAGAAAAAAAGTGTCAAAAAGCAATTTCAAAACTAAAAAAAAATCATATTTCATAAATTTACTAAATTTAAAGTTTACTAAAAAAAAGTCTAAAATAATTTTGCCTACAAGGCTTAATTATGTTTATCCAGCAATTAAATACAGTTATAAGTGCATTAAGCACTTTTATATATTAGCACTTTCGTAATAGGATGAAAAAAATCATTGATTTGAAACTATAAATAAATAAAAAGTTGAATCTAAAATGAGTATAAAAAGTAACTTAAATAAATTTGATAAAATAAATTTTCTTTTCTTTAAAATAGTTTAGAATTTTCAAAAGTTAATAAAAGAATCGTACAACGGAGCGTAATACATTTTTTTATTTTTTATTTAAATTAAATAAAAATAAATTTGAATTTTTTAATATTTAATAATAAATTTAATTTAAATATAATAAAACAAATTTAAATTTAAAATTTATAAAAAAATCAAAAGTAGAAAACAATTTATTCAACTATTTTACAATTGCGATAAAAAAATTTTTTACCACAATTACTGCTTAATGTTTTCTGCATAAACTGTTTTGGCATAATGTAAATGGCTTAACATGTAGGTAAAATCACCATTTCGTACATAAAATCCAAATAGTGTAATGCTTGTTAACAAGGCCTGGTATTAGTGTCATACTAACAAAAATATTCCCGCTAAAGTTTTAGCAGAAATAAGTTTTCCAATTAATTTTTCAAAGAAATGTGTATATATTGTACAAATATGCTAATAATATATTCTAAAAAAGTATGTTTTTGTAAGTAATGTGACCATCTTTTGCATTTATTATTGATTTATGCTATTAAAGGATGCTATTATAACATGGTTTTGATTTAAAACAAAATGTATAACAGTTATTATTGTCTTTTTTTGTACTTAATTAGTGTTTATTGTTGGTTGGCTGGTTATTCTGAATATTTTATTATGTTAATAAACATTTTAATCATATTTTTATATAGTAAAAATTGTATCTAGATCGCCGAAATAACTCAAAAAAATCCTGATATAATTGCTCTTGCATTACATGATGCAAACTACGATACTTCAATTGCTATTGGATTTATCTTAGAAGGACGGTATGATAGCACACAGGTAGCATAATATTGTATCTGTGTAAACATAATTTACTGGTTCAACCATTTTTTATATAAATTGATACTACCTTTAAAAATCTTTTTTTTTTAAATTTATTAACAGCTGTGAGCTAGCGAAAGCTTGCCAAGTATTATTATTATTACTATTATACATACTTTTTTATTTGTTAAAAGCTTGCCTAGTATTAGCTCATCCTATGTATTAAAGTGCAAATGAATAATATAGTTTTGAATGTAATGCTATAAATATAATAAATTTAATGATTTTATCAATCTATGATTTTAATACCTCTACTTTAAATATTGTATAAGTTTAATTTTATTATATCTTAATAGAAATATATACAAATAAATATTAGAAATGCTTAGCCAGAGTTATAACATGAGACTGTATCATCATATATCTTTATGAGTTTATGATCATACCATTCAATTATCCAAGTTTTATTAGATTTTCAGTATATTTTCATTTGGCTAATCATGGTTGCAAAAATTCTCAAAATATTTTTTTATACAAATGGTGCTTTGTAGTTAAAATACACTAAATGAACATTACTGACTTTGTAAAAAAGTAAAATTTGTGTATTTTGATGTGTAAAATTAAGACAAATGTTGGGTTCCTCACAGAGTATGTTATGTTTGTTTTGAGAATCTTAAGGAATGGCATAGAAAAAAAGTACCTTTTAAAATTGCATCAATGTTTCAAAAACCTATGAGGCAGAAATAGTGATTATTATTTTTTGCTACATTGATAGTTCTAATTATAATTCCAAAAATTAGATGGTAAATCCAAACCTTACTTTATCTGATTGGGTGGCAAAAAATTGACTTTGCTTTTGAGCCATCTTAGGTTATCGATGTTTTGAAATCCAGTTTGAAACTTAGTGAAAGTAAATCAATTGTTGGCAAGTTTCAATGTTCTCCAGAAAAATTTTTACAAAAGCTGAACACTGTAACACAACATCTTGCTATTTTATTTAAGCAGTAAGAAGATTTGGTGTCATGGTAACTGTCTAATGAATGAAGATTTTTAAAATTTTAAAAAAGTTTTGCCGTGGTCTTTGATCAATAAAAACCTTTAAAAGGTTTCCATGTTATATAAGTGAATGCTACAGCATTACAAGATACCAATATTGTTCCAAAAAAAAAATGGTTAATGAAAAACTCTGGCAAAGGGAGAGTAGTTTGCTTAATTCTTTAGAAAGATACCAATATTGTTCCAAAAAAAAATGGTTAATGAAAAACTCTGGCAAAGGGAGAGTAGTTTGCTTAATACTTTAGAAAGAATAGGTTGGCTTTAAAAAACCTTTGTTTAGTTTTTTTAAAAAGCCTAATTAGCATTTTGTAAGCATTTATTGTAATTTTCAAATAATTTTGATCATTAAAGTTTAAATTATTGTGAAAATATGAGTTTTAGGATCTTATTAAGGTGTTATATTATTATAAATTATAGTAATATAACATCGCATAATATAATATAATAGTAATGTTGTATTTTTGTATAGTATTATCAATTTATTATCTTATAATAACTGCATAAAATAGTATCCTAATATTTAAATTGTATGCATAATGAAGTGATATTATTATTAAACATTGATATAATATCTTAATGATAACAAATAACTTAATTATTATTATAACAGATGTTATATTAATAATTAAGTTATATTAATAATTAAATTAATTATTATTATAACAGATTTTATATTAATAATTGTTGTATTAATGTTAAAATATTATATTAACTATAAATCATAACATCTTTTATAAAACAGTAGTAACATATAAAATAGTGCAACTTGTGCGCAGCCCTAATTTTATGGAAATAATGTAAAATGTTGGTGCTAAACCTTGGTATTTATAAAATGGTGTTCGATTTCAGTTTCATAATAACTATGAGTACATAGGTAATAGAGGTTTAGATATCATTTGAAAAATTGTTTAAACAATGTTAAAACACCTTGCTACAAACTTTTTGTAACTAGTATGATAGTTTTAAAACTCTTGGTTGTGTGACAAGTTTAAAGTTCACTTCTTATGCAGTCATTATGACTTATTTCTAAATAAAGACATGGTGAGTGAAGATCAGATAGAAAAGTTTCAACATTTTTAAGAAAAGGAAAAGGAAATATATAAAACCATTAAGAGAGAATTGTTGATGATAAAAAAACAGATACCAAATATGATTTTAAAACTTTAAAACATGTATGATTAAGATGAATGGGTAAGGAAAAAAAAAATAGAATAGAATAGAACAGAAAGCATGCTGTCCACACTTAAGGTGTGTTGAGTTTTAATTGTTTTTTTAATTTACTAATGGTGAAAATTAACTTTATCTTTCGCTTTTGAGATTATATTAATCTGAATCAGATCACCTTTTTTTTTCTTACAAAGTTTTTCAATACCTTTAAACTTTCTTTGTATGACTTTTATTCGAAGATTCAGTTCTTGTAGTCTTTTGTTGCACCAATTCAAGATTTTCAATGTGCTTCTTCCAAAAAAATTCCAAGCCTTTGCTCCATTTTCCAAATAGAGATATATTAACAATTTCTTATAAAAATTAAAAAAAAAATTTGTCCAAATACTTAAAAAAAAATTTTATTATGCATAATTTTTTATTTGCTTTACCAATAGCTGAACTAATAATTTTCTATTTGCTTTACCATTAGCTGAACTAATTTAATAAATTCACTTTAATGTGATAACTCCTCCCCCTAGATAACTGTGGAATTGTCATATCACCTCTACACTATGTTTTTTCTCTTTTTTCTCTAACTCTGATTCACTCCCAACATGGCTGCATGCAACCACTTTTATATTGGGAGTTACTAGAAAACACAGAATATAGTTAAAGAGCAAGAAAACGGTTGATAAAAGACCTGAAAAAGAAAGGTTCAAGCTTGACAGGTAAAACAGATAAAACAACTATGTTTACAATGTGTTTTTGGACCTTGTCTAGAAGAGAAATAGCATAATTAGAAGAACCAGACTAAATATGACAACAGTATTCAATACAGGGACAAATAAGTGATTTGTAGAGATAGGGAATGGAGTCAGGAGGAAGATAATGTGCACAATAAACCCAACAACCCTAGCAGATTTTATCTTTGCAAGTGAATTTATATATTTTTTTCATTAGAGGTTAGTAATGAATGATAATCTAAGAGATGTAAAGAAGAGGACTCAGTGAGAGGGTTGCCATTCATTAATATAAAAATGCTGACAGTATTGTGATAGTTGTTAGCAGTAAATAACTGAGTTTTGTTGCAGTTAAAATTTACAAGACAATATAAGCTTCAATCTGTTACAGAAGTGATATCAGACTCTAGATTGGTGTCTATCCTAAGTGACTAAAAAAAGTTTTTTTTTTTTAATACAGAAGCATAACAAAATAGGACCAATATTAGAACAGTTAAAACAAAATCATTCAATTTATATTACTAATTATATTATTAATATGTTTGTCTATTTGAAATAAATTATTATAAATCAGGAAGAATTTTTGAGATTATCAAATTATTTCTTCCTAACATAACATAAACTTATTACCTTACCTGGGAGCAACAAGTTTATAAAATAATTTTCTTAGTATTTTTATCTAAATTTATAATCATAAACAAATTTCAAATTTCATGCAATAATCTCTTAGGGTTCAGTTCTTATGGCCTTACAAAGTTTAAGTTGAGGGGGGTTAAAACTTTATATGGTCATAATTTTTGAAATATAATAGATTATTGCATGAAATTTGAAGTTTGTTGATGAATATAAACTTAGATAAAAATATTAAAGAAAATATTTTATAAACGTGTTGCTCCCACATTAAGGGCTGGGTGGGCTCAAAAATTAGGGTTTTTTTGTCCCCATGCTCCAATCACCCCAACTCTTTGCAAAACATTCTCATTTGACATAAGCATCAACATACAAAAGTTTGGAGTTTGCACAATGCCTGTAAGTGTCAAAATTCAAACATCTAAAAATTGACTGTACACCACTGATATATATATATATATATATATATATATATATATATATATATATATATATATATATATATATATATATATATATATATATATATATGTACATATATATATATATATATTATATATATTTTATATATATAATATATAGATTATATATATATTTTATATATATAGATTATATATATAATATATATATATATATTTTATATATAGTATATTATATATCAGGCCTTGCAATAAAGCGTCGGGCAATGTGAATTTTACGTTGTCCAAGAGCGATTTTGCGTGTAGCTAGGGCTATTTGCGTTGAGCAAAAAATTTTTTGTTTGAGTATATTTAAAGATATTTTTGAGCGGAATTTTAATGAAGTAATTTACGATTATTTTAACATTTAATAAAGTATTTTAAAAACCGCACGCAGTTAAAATAACAGTTTGAATTAAAAAAAGTTAAATATGCTCATTATTTACAAGTAGAAAAAATTCAGATTAAAGAAAAAGTTAAAATCTTTTAAGCTAACATTTTAATAAAGTTATTCAGCAATAGCAAAGTTGTTGATAAAATTGAACAAAAATAGTTTCTTTTAGTTTTAGATTTTAAACTTAAATAATTATTTTACGGGGGTTTGTTAGGTTTTAAAATTATTCTATATATTTAAAAATATTTATTAACTGTTAGACGTATTTAAAGTATTTAAAAGTAATTTCGAGGAAACATTTTAAAAATTGGTGAGCGCAAATAAAAAAAAAAAAGGATTAATATTAAAACGTATTTTACTTGATTCAATAAAAAAGTACAGTTATTAAAATTTTTGTAAAAAGTAACTCAAAAAAATTACTTAAATAATAACGATCGCTTTTATGTTAAAAGTTACCGAAACTCAACGAAGCGTGCTCAAGAACAGCTGCTGAAAAATAAAACGTCAATAGTTTTTCGAATAATTTTTAATAATTTTTAAGAATAATTTTTTCGCTGAAATATTTCTTTTATACCTATAAGATTTTTATTCTAA